ATGGTATGGTATTAAAGTTCAAATTGAATTTTAAGTATTATTACGAATCTTTTGTACGGGAATATAGAAGTGTGTTGTTTTTAGACTTTTTCAGGCAAGTTTTTAAATTTTTTCTTTCATAAAAATTCTCCTGATAATAACAAACACAACAAAAAAAAGAAGTGAAATCGGTCCAGCTGTTCACGCGTGATGGCATGACCAAGGGAAATAGGGATTCCTTTTTATACAGCGTGTCGTTACCATCGCGACAATAAATGAACGTAATCATAAAAAATATTAACGTTAAACAAAATCCGTAATTAAAAAAAATATTTTTCAAACAAACTAATTAAGTAAAAAAGAAACAAAATTTGTGACATCCTATACACCTCGCGCCATAGCGTCGCATTACAAGCCTCTCCTTCTAACAGTATGTTTTGTCTCTTTTAAATTCATTCAACCCATTCATATGCTTTGTGACCTTTAAAACTGAACTTTACGTTACAGTTTTATACGTAAGGGTGTTCTAAAATTGTTTGTTTTGGAAAATTTTATAACTCGGTAAATATTGATGTTTGAAGAATGTAAATGTTTAATACAATTTTAAAAAGTTATCCTTTATATGTGTGTTCATTTATTGTCGCGGTGGTAACGACACGCTGTATATACAGATTACAACATGTTTTTGAAATAAACTTTCTTTACTATTTTAAAATAATAGTTCGGTGGCATCAGAAAAGAAAAATAAAAAGCAAATACGGAATTCATAAATATATGAGAACTCCCTGGGGACGGGCTACTTTTTATTTTATTGTAATGTCATTTAAAAAAATGTTTGGCGTTAGTCACTGACACACACATTGAATGAATTTAAGTCGTGAAAAGTTTGTTACCGTATGACAACTGATTGAAACTGAATAAAAAATAATTTGTCAGCAAATTCGTACAGTATTATTCATGAAAAGGAGCTAAAGTACTACTTTCGAGAATTGAGTCACTGCCGGGAAGAAAAACATGTACGCAATACGGGTCTTTTGTTATGAAGACGCCGTTGAAATAAAATATTTTTTTTAAATAAATATTTTTAGGAAACATTTTTACGCAATGTTCTCTAGTCCCAAACTAAGCAACGCTTTTATTATGGGTACTAGATAACTGATAGACATAGTTAAACATATTTTTCTTTTTATAAGTAAATACATATTAAACATATATAAACATCCCACTACAAAAACAGTATGTTCATCACACAATATTTTCCAGAAGTGGGGATCGAACCAGAGGGTGTGTCTTCTGGAGCAGGAGGCAGGTACACTACCCACTACGCCATTCGTGGCGTCAAATTTTATAAAAGTCAAAGCACAGAGAGAGAATGGTTGCTATTCATTTGGAAAACAGATATTTAATTACAGTGTTGCTTGGATATATAAGGGCACTGCTCTTAAGTGTTTATGCGACACTGCAGATCGGTGCATTAAAGTTAGCGAAAGCAAAAGATGCAAAGGCTTATACTCAATAATATCGTCCTTCTCCGCAATAATTCACATATCATCTGAAGACCTCAAATATGGAATTGATTATGCATCCGCTAGCAGCCTGGACTCCGTACCTCTCAACTTCCGTTAAATTTTTTTTCGAATTTTAAAGATAAGGTTAGAGGTTTACAATGACGAAGCTATTGAAGAGGTCCTTATCAAATACTGAATACACTGCTTCACACAATGGTCCCAAGGAATGTGTAAATAGTGAGCGCATATAAAAAAACAAATACAATATAGGTAATATTTATCAAAATACAGAAATTTGGAATATAACCTAGACAACTGATCTTAGTTATTAGGTAATTTTTTTTGGTATCGGGGGGGAAATCTTCAAAAGATACATACCCTGTCATGATATGACAGGATTATGTGGGGTTTTTACCCACTAAAACCCCCTCGGTGGCCACCTTCTGTACGTTTGGAGGGACTCCGGGATCTCCTACGGAACACACCGGTGCCCCTCAGTACTGCGCGTGAGCACGCCTCGGAGAAGGATAAACCTCCCCCGATTCCCTCGCCGCCTTGCAGCACGAGACCACTTCGTGCTGCTGCCGATCCGTGTCCCCGTTTAGTCGCCTTTTACGACAGGAAGGGAATACCTTAGCTCTATTCTATGAGCCCGAGACTACAGGGCGGAGGTAATTAGGTCCTAATAGTATAATAAGTGTTTGTGGAGCAGTGCAGTCCATGGCTTATATGATGTCCTGTCCTGCCTGCCCTTTCACCTGTTCGCAGGAGGATTTGATGGATGCCACAAATTGAGCTGTAGAAGTGGCGAAATTCTGGGCCAGAAACATATGATTTGTCATCGACACGTAAAGAAGGACAAGGTCCTAATAAAATTTTTTGATCAACAATCTATAACAATTTTATAAATGAAAATGAATATATAGATGGTAATACTACAGAACTTCCTAAGTCCTATAAGACAAAAAGCTCTGAATCTTGCATCTGCTATACTCGAGCAACCTAAGTTATATCCCCGGTGCCGGCACCAATGAAATTGTTATTTTCAAGTGCTGAATTATCACGTGCTCAGCGGCGTATTTTCGGCTAATCTGCATATTTTCGAAATAATAATTAAAAAAAACATATTTCGAAGATATGTGAAGTCCGCCAATCCGCAGTGGGATATTATTCATTGGAATATTATGGTATTCGCCATTGTGCCATTGACTTTGTTTCCTCATATCTTACTGACAGGGAACAAAAAGTAATCATAAATGGTATATTGTCAACGGGGTCAAAAGTAAAAATGAGCGTTCCTCAAGAATCGATCCTGGGCCCTTTTCTGTTTTTAGTTTATATTAATGATTTGCCATATATAGTGGAAAAAAGGTCTCAAATTGTTTTGTTTGCGGATGACACTTCATTATTGTTTAAAGTTAAAAAAAAATGATGCACTGGAACAACCAAATGAAATACTAGATATTGTGTCTGGCTGGTTTGCTACCAATAACTTACTTTTGAACTCCAATAAAACAAAATGTATTAGATTTACTCTTTTAAAGTTGTGTCACCAATCAGGAATCTCTATTGATGAGAAAATCCTACCCCTTGAGGATTCAACAGCATTTCTTGGAATAAGCGTTGACTCCAAGTTGCAATGGGGATTTCATGTAGATAAGTTAGCTAAGAAATTGAGCGCGGCCGTCTTTGCTATACGTAAAATCAGGAAACTAACTAACGAGGAAACAGCTAAATTAGCTTATGCTTATTTTCACAGCATAGTGTCCTATGTTGTCTTACTTTGGGGTTCCGCATCCGGTTTAGACACAATATTTGTATTACAAAAGCAAGCTATACGGGCCGTCTATGGCTTGGGTCCACGTGAGTCGCTACGGCATATATTTAAGCAAATAAAAGTTTCGACGCTCCCGTCGCTTTACATACTTGAGAACATCATGTATGTACGTAATAATATCCACCTATTTACGAAAAAACAATCCACATCGCGTCGGGGCCGTGGTGACACTCTGGAAGTACCGAGGTTTAGATTGGCTAAAACCAGAAAGTCGTTGCTGGAAGATGCATCAACTTTTATAATAAAATAGGTGACATCCACAAACAACTAAGTATAAACAATTTCAAACAATTTGTAAAAGCTACCTTAATGGCAAGGTCCTACTATCCAAGAATACATTGAGGACAAGGATGTTTGGAAATGACTCTTGCTCTGCACTTGCAAGACCCCTGGCTGCTGCTGATTTTATACCTAAATACGTGTGTAGGTCTAGTTTAGTGAACCGGTGGTAGATTTTTTGTTGACGTTCAATAAGAGCTTAAGATAGGCCTATATTGAATAAATATACTATGACTTGACTTTGACTTTGACTAACGCCGCGGCTGGTGACAAGAGAGCTGGTTCTTTTCTCGCTCAAAAAAAAAAGCGAGGAAATGCAGCTAGCGTTCTTAGTTGGTTCTTCTTAACCATGCCACGTGGATTAGGTTTATTAGATAATATGTAATTTTAGATAGATTAAATCTTGTAAATATTAATTTTTTTACGCGTAGTATTCTTCTAATATTATTCTGAAATAACTGGTTCAACCACTCTTAAGCACAGAACCCAGTTCAGGAAAACCGAAGGCAGTTGTGGAAACAACTGTATATATATGTTACTTTATAAATAAGTGTGATCATACAAATGCCTCCACGTGTTGGATATACGCATTTGCAGTTGAAACAGCGATAGGAGGCTAGAAGGTTACGTTTTCCTTCCGGCCACCCACGCCGCCCCCGCCACGCCGTAACATCAATCACAGAACTAAATAGAAACCATTTCCATGATAATGTTGGGACATAAAGGCTAATGATTGCAGCCCGCTAAGTGGGTCATTCATTACGGTTGCTCACGACAAATTGAGTGAATTGCTTTTGAAGCGATAAACAGGGCAAAATTTGTGAATTAGTTTTCACTTCGCTCCTCGTTTTATAAATAGATTCTTAAAACTATCGCAATTTATTTGGACGCGTCGTGCTAAATTTCAGACGTTTCATTGCTAAACAAAACGTGAATACCTAAAAACCGCCGCGCCAATCCAAGTCATTAGCTGGTATGATTGTCCGTGCATAAATCTGATTAGGTTTCTAATAATGAAATCGGCTGACCTTATTCTCTTATGACACTATTATTACTTGTTCTCCAAAAGCGTCCGATAATCGAAAATCAAATGAGCTTCTAATGTGGCAATCGCCTAATACGGAGCTGGTTGTTTCTCAATGCCCAATATAATCGCGGGGCTACGTCATACTTAAATCCGAACTAAGACTAACTGGGGGCGTTGTAGTGCTGAAGCAATTCAATTGATTGTCTATTCACTTTCCAATTCGCGTAACGCTAAGTTGACACGCATCGTCGACGGAGCGTTTGCCGTCCCATTAAGATTGCATGGACGTTAATGTTTACGACGCGCAAAAGGTCTCTCTAACGCAACAGCCCAGTTGCGGTGATTGTGTGTTAGTTGACGCATGCCATTAGCGAGGTTGGAAACGGATGGATGCTGCGGCCGTGACACGCCGCCGCGCGTACGCGACAAATTCGCCGTCCATTGATAAAGACGCTCGCCCACTCGTCGCTGGGCTCCCATTCACCGGCGCCGCGTGTTGCGCAACTTGCGTTGCCCTCCGTGCCCCGCTCCCCCGTAGAACCTTCATTCGGCCCGAACTGGCTTCCGCAACAGCTGTCAATGTTTCTCTAACACGCTTACACGAAACTTGCGAGACCATACGCACGTTTGTACACCTTCTAAAATTCCAGTTAGCGCAGGAGCCACTTGTTTCTAATACGGCCTTGGAATAAACACAATCCCTTTTTGTGCCTCGAAAGTATTTTTATACTCGGAAATCACTAACTTGAGCAAAGTTTGATATTTATTACAAGAATTTCAGTCTATTACAATTTATAGATCTTGTTAGTACCGAGAAAGGTGCTTCATCTTTTAAGAGCTTCTTACTAAGTTGGATGGGATTTGTACTTATATTACGCAAAGAAATCATTAATTTATGGAGTACTAGGTTTTTGCCCGCGGCTTCGCTCGCGTTGAAGCCCTTAAATAAATATCTTTTAACCCCTTACAACACTTTTTGCAATAAAAAAATGGCCTATGTTCTTTCTTAGGCTCTAGACTATCAAATTTTATTTAAATCGGTTCAGTAGTTTTTCAGTGAAAGTGAGACAGACAGACAGAGTTACTTCCGCATTCATAATATTAGTATGGATTATAAAAATCCTTGATGCTCTAGATTAGTGGCGGAGCTTTTAATTCAATGTACTTTAGGGACTTGAGTTCAAAACCGGTACCGATGACATTATCAAATGCTGCCTAGACTAGCACTAATTATAAAGTAAGTGATAAATTTAACTAAATATAAAATTAAATGAAAAGTTCTCTCGTGCACAAATAGTACAAATATTCATTGTAAAATAACACTTGTTAAGTTGTTGTTTTCTGCAAAGGGAGTCGTACACTAGATGGTGCCATCAAACGCGGTAAATCGACAAAACACGGGTATCAAACGTTTAGCTTAGTGATTACAGCAGCGTCTGGCGTTAGCTGGCAGGCCCAGGTTTGACCCTGACAGCGCGGACAAATTATCTACACTCTACACATTTTACGTTTCGTCTTAAGTACAGAAACTAGCACTAAAATGTAATTAATTATAAACATCAAATAAAACAGTTCGAAATAAAGCCATTGTTAGCTCACTTATCGACGTTGAAATTTTGAGAGGTTAATTTGTTTCGAAAAAATGCCATAAAAGTAGTTGCGTAAAGCTGCCGGCGGGAGCTCTGTACCATAATGCAGGTGAACGCACCTGAACCAGTTTCATAATTAAGAACGCATTTAAATTCATTAAAAATCGTTAAAACTTTCTACGGGCGGAGACACTTAGTGACCGACACGTTTTAGTGGTGACAAGAGACGAAGCATGCACATTCATCAATGATACATTATATTATATGTAAAACAAGACAAAGTCTAAAAGACTATTAAGTGATGGCATATATAGGTATAACATAATATAACAAACCTCACCATACGTAACGGCTAAATATTAGTATTTAAAAGTATAATCGTTTTGTCCCAAATACAGAAATGTCTCTTTTGCTTAAAGCGCTAAAATCTCGCATTGCACAACATTTTTTTTTAATTTTACATATAACTTACGAAAGTGACCTAATTGCTTATATGTATTTGTAAATAAAATGCGATAAAAAATAATTACGAAAAGTGAACGTAACAGTAAAACAAAGCGAGCTATGCAGCAAAATTGAAAAACTTATTTTAACATTTTGTAAAAGTTTGACTCATGGCAATTTATTCTTTTTACGGCCATAGTCGTTCAAAGTTCCAAGGTTTTCTATGATTTCTGGTCGTTAAATTCCAGTCGCCTAGATAAAATACAAAATAGCAAAACTGGTCTAAGAAGCACTGTGAACTGTTGACTGATCACCGGTATAAGATTAATTTGAACGTTATACGTTACAAGGGCTTCCTGTCATTTTAATATACACGTCATTTACTTGATTTACAAATAAATGCACGATGTATCTTCAAGAATCTCCATATTTACGATGCTCGCGAAATGCATGCGATGTCAAGGTGCGTACATTTGTTGTATTTAATATAAAGCGATTGTTGACGAAACCTCGATGTATCGAGCATCAAGGTAATATGCGCTTCTCATTACAGATTGTCGATTATTGCTTAATCGTATCGTAAAAATATTTATACAAATTACTGCGTCTGAGGGTTTGTAAGTGATTAACACATTGCCTGGGTACTTATACTTATATCAATAAAATTTGGTATTTGTTTACAAAAAAATTAAGTATGTTTACCAGTTACCTATTATATACAGTACAAGCATTGCTTAGCTTTAATAACATTGTGTAAATATGTCCTAAATATCTATGTATTGTTGATTTATTTAACCGTTTTTATGCAAACAATGATAAAAGTGAAACAAACAAAATAATTGAATGTAATGTATATACTAAAAATCTATACTTCGGTCTAGGCTATGAATTTTGTGGTCACATCCATAGCCTAGAAAAAGAGAAACGATAAACACGCGGTGAAGAAATCCGAGATCACGCCGATACGTAGTACTAATAAGCACCATCAAAGGCAGGAAGTGAGAGGCAGTTGATGCTACAAATGAAACAATATGGCCGGTATTGGCAAATAATGCGTTTGTTAGGCGCGTGCGGCGAGCGGGGGCGTTTCGGGCTTGAATGGACGCCAGTGATTCACCACGGCTCATTCACAGTCGACGAACACGGCTGCTTTACCGACGTTTCATTCATAATGTTGAATGTTTAATATCCCGCCAACAAACAGATTTTTTAAGCTGCGACTATTTAACTCGGTAGGATTTTTTTTAGGACGTTTGTAGTAGTAATTGCAATAAATTAATGTATATTATTAACTGTTTTTGCGTAGGTATACAACAGGATAAAGAAAATGTTTCAATAAGAAAACATATTCACGGAATAACTTCATATTTGTATATATATTTTTAAATCCGTAAAATGTCATTTTAAACCCCCAAATATATATCCAACCGCCTTTGCATACGTTTATGTACTCGTATAGTACCTACATAATAGTTTACTTGAAAATAAGACAAATTTAATATTAACTCTTAGTTTACTTAAAAATAATTTTGTTTTAATAATTTGAATTACATAATATGTTTGAAAATTTTCATAGGGAGTAGTGATTTTATGCAATATACTTCACAGTAATAACATAAAACATTTACGGACTTTAATTGTCGTCCCGTGTAAAAGTTCCCGCCCGGTCGGGGCCTCAATACAGTTGGTTTGACTTGGAGGCAAAAGGTTATGAGATTTCAAGCTATAGATCCACTGATAGCATTTAACCGGACAAGTAATTGTTTGGTGAGCGGGCTATTAATTTTGTATAATGGCTTCGTGTGAGCATTTATGTTTCGTTAACAAAAAATACGATTACTGACTCCGATGATATGTTATTGAAAGTTTACGGCTTAGAACGGGACGCGTTGTTTGTTTCGGGCTTTGTTCGTTCAATATAAAATGAAAGAAAAGTACCTTTACGATCGTATTCCGTAACGGTACGGTAAGAAATTGTTATCCGCATCCAAGTAATATCTAGTTAGGTCAACATATACCAAGTGCTTAATAATAATTATTGCTGTGTTAAGTGAGGAAGCAATCTTTGAGCAAACCCAAAACTTATCTATTCATGAAGACACGTTGTATTTAGATGATAAATGAAGTCAGTTATTCCAGCACTTGCTGTAAACAATGCAATATTATTATCGTAAAAAACTCTAAAGCTCGCTACATAATATATAATATTAATGATAACAAAGAATATTAAGGAATAAATTTAAGACGTTCGACACCGTTTAACACGTCACAACATATCATCTCATGTGGATTGTCTGCTATAAGCCTGTGACAGATGACGCAGCAAATAATTTTGCCAGCAATAAAAATCATATTGTATTTCGTATGTTACCGAGAGAACCGGTTGCGTTCTCCTCCAACACCATATTTGGAGGAAGATGATCCACCCATTCGATTTTGTTAGTTTACCATTATTTTTATTTTATTTATATCCCTTAGAATGAAAATTCATCGAGTTTGTTAGCATATTACGAGCAACACAGATTATAATTAAATTTTATGGGTGATTATACCAGTATTGGTTTGTGAATATCACTGGTTGATGGTGCACTCTTATCATATATAATAAAAATGTTTCCACATCTAATTTCTAGGATCCCAATTGCATGGATCAGCGAACTCTCTATTATTCGGACTTTTTCGACGTAGAAATAAATGTTATAAATTAATAGTCGTAATCCTCTTAGTCACTTATTGGCAACATGTTTATGACATATCTCCGTTTCGTTTTAAAAATAATCACAAACCTTATATCATTCAAAAATAAATTAAGACGTTCTAATCTATGTGGTGGACATATAAAAAGGCATCTGCAATCTTATGGATGTTGCAAATGGCAGCGGTTATCACTTAACATCAGGTGAACCGTCAGCTCGCTTGCCACGTTCTCACATAAAAAAAAACGTTCTAATTAGAGATATACCAAATGTAGACGTGCTGGATGTAACTAATTTACAAAAAAACTTTCCAACATGGAATATAATACTGAATACATAAATATTCATTCTGCTCACAATAGTCTGTTAATGAGCGACTTGTTCTCGATACCTAATCGAATTCTGCGATATGTTTACAACGAGCAATTTGCATGCAAAACTAATCTCGAAGCTCGCTAAAGGCGAATATTTTATAGAAATCAACTTAACAAGGACTGTCGCATATAAACATTGAGCCAGATAAGCGATAGGTAAACAATAAATAGAACAACGAGGCGTTGCAGTGTGTCCGCAGTTTAAAGTGCCGATAAGTATCCTGCGGCTCAACCGCTTGCCCGGCAATCTTTCGTAATGTAAACACGATCTGATTAGATCGTAGATACATTAGCTTTATTTATTAACACCTGTTCGGGGAAGTAATTTTAGAGTACGTTACAGAAAGGTATCGTGGTTGAGTTGAAGCGAAAATTTATTTGCCACATTTTGGGACTTGTAACACAATGTTACAACATTGCATATTTAAAATTGGTTTAAAAATATGGCGTAATTATTACATTAACCTGACCGATAACTGTACATCCATTTAAGTGTAATGTTTTGAGCTTATCACA